CTACTGTCTTGGAACTACAAATAATTTTAAAAATAACTATGTTGTGCTTGCTTTTTAAAAAACTAAATGCAAAAGATTGACCTTTGCTATATCCCATTGATATAAAATACATCTGAAAATCTAAAAGACCTCTGAGACAGACAATTTCCAGATAGTCTCCAAAAATGCAAATGTGTTTTTTTTTTTTTGTTTTTGTTTTTGAGATGGAGTCTCACTCTGTTGCCAGGCTGGAGTGTAGTAGAACAATCTCAGTTCACTGCAACCTCCACCTCCCGAGTTCAAGCGATTCTCCTACCTCAGCCTCCGGAGTAGCTGGGACTACAGGCACGTGCACCAGACCCAGCTAATTTTTGTATTTTTAGTAGAGATGGGGTTTCACCATGTTGTCCAGGATGGTCTCAAGCTCTTCACCTCATGATCTGGCCCACCTTGGTCCCCCAAAGTGGTGGGATTACAGGCTTGAGTCACCGCACCTGGCCACAAATGTGCATTTTTGACAAATTTCATTATGCACTGTTCTAGAAACTCTTAATTTATCCAATCAATCAGTACATTTTAAAATTCCATACACATCACACTCAGGCACTGAATGAAGTGTCATGGAGCAAAACAAAACAAAACAAAAAGCCAAAAAACAAAAACTGTTCCTGACCTTCGAGTTCTAGGAGATTAAGAACCATTACCATACAAGTCCACTTTGGAAACTTCAGTCCTTCTCCATTCATGGGAATTCCTATACACTGTGGTTACTGTTCCACTTTACTAAAGCTTTTCTTAATTTCAACACTGAGTATGTTTTAATCAAGTTAATCTTTCCTACTTCATATGTAACTCAATTTTCCTCTTTTTTTTTTACCTTTCTATAGCATTTTTGCCAACAGTACATTGTTAATGTTGATTTTGACTAAAAGTGAGTCATGGGAAACTCAATATTTTTAGGCGAGAAACTGTGGTAAATTGTCATCCTATTGAGAGTACTATGGGAATACAGAAAATATGTAGTAATGCGGAATTACCTAAATTAACAAATTGGTGGCAAAAGTTCAATAAGTTGGAAAAGTCAAATGATCCATAAGTATAGACTAATATTAAGAGATATACTTACAGCGTGACAAACACTTGGAATCTAATCACATTATTGATGTCTAGGTGAGGAACTAGACACTGTTACAAAGGCCTCAGAAAGGGGATCCAGAAGTGGCATTAGATTCCTACTGTCAGTCACCATGAGCAGAATACATGCACTTTTGGAGAAGGGCTTTATGTCAACTATACACTAATTTCCTATATTTGAATGTGTTTAGTGTCCAAAGGTATGGATGTCTGATTATTCTTACATATATAGTAATGACCTTAGCAGCTCACTATCATCTAGCAGGGCAAATACTGTTACTTTCATTTAACAGAACTGATCCTCAACAGGGTTAAAGACTCTACTCAAGATAAAAGCTAGAATTAAACACAGGTCTTCAGAGTGAATACTTTCCATTGCAAACTCCAACCTGTCCAAGAACTTTTCAAGGAAATCCTGTTTAATTTGGCACTTACAGACAGACCTAAGATAGAACTAATCATGGATCTGATAAGATCTAACATTGCGAGAGGAGTGTTCACACTGCTGTATTTCATCAAAGCCACAATCAGGTAGGTAGCTTAAAGTGGCTTAACTTCCATGCGTTATATTTAGACCAAAATCAAGCTCTAAGTGATTGTTGTGCATCTTTCAAAGTTAAACATACCGCAGTGGTACCCAAGGGAAAATTGTTAATAAAAGTTTAGACTGATAGTTCAATATTCCTTTGAGAATACGTTTTAAAAATATGCTTTTCTTTCTGGTAATTAAAACACTTTTTTGGATTGACGCTTTTTTTTTTTCTTTGAGACAGCATCTCTCTCTGTATCCCAGGCTGGAGTGCAGTGGGGTGATCTCAGCTCACTGCAAGCTCCGCCTCCCGGATTCACGCCATTCTCCTGCCTCAGCCTCCTGAGTAGCTGGGAGTACAGGCGCCAGCCACCATGCCTGGCTAATTTTTTTGTATTTGTTTTTTCTTCTAGCAGAGATGGGGTTTCACCGTGTTAGCCAGGATGGCCTCAATCTCCTGACCTTGTACAAGATCCGCCCGCCTCGGCCTTCCAAAGTGCTGGGATTACAGGCGTGAGCCACCGCGCCTGGCCAAAACTTCTAAATGTTTTTTTGTAAGTAATGCAAGACAATGAAACCAAAATTATACATTGATTATCTGTATTTTCCTTTAAAAATACAGACTTCTTCAAGCAATACATTTTTAAGTGATTTTATTTTTACAAAGAGCAATATTAAAACTGTAAGCATGGGTAGGGCACGGTGGCTCACGCCTGTAATCCCAGCACTTTGGAAGGCAGAGGCGGGTGGATCACGAGGTCAGGAGATGGAGACTATCCTAGCTAACACGGTGAAACCCCGTCTCTACTAAAAATACAAAAATATTAGCCGGACGTGGTGGTGGGTGCCTATAGTCCCAGCTACTCCGGAGGCTGAGGCAGGAGAAAGGCATGAACCCGGGAGGCGGAGCTTGCAGTGAGCCTAGATCACCCATTGCACTCCAGCCTGGGCGGCAGAGCGAGACTCTGTCTCAAAACAAACAAACAAACAAACACCTATAAGCATCATTAAACACCTTATGCTCCCCTATACACTATCATTTTCTTGACGAGGACTATGAATACACTTTTGCCTTTTAATAAGAACACACATGCAAAAGAAAAAAATGGGAAACTTTTTTTTAGATTCAAGTGTTAATTCACTTTTGCTAATTTTAAAGCAATGTCTAGGAAAAAGTGATATTTTTAAAGATTGGGCTGTATTTTATTATCTTTAGGATAAAATTAAAGATGAAGCAAGTGTGGCAGATATATGGAGTAAATTATTTTAAAAATAAGTGCTGTGTTTCAGTTTATAGCTAATCCTAGAAAATAATGTATTTCTATATTTATGCCTTTTGAAGTTTGTTTCTATGTATGTACATTGAAGCTCAACTTCTTATAACTGGAGAAACTAGCTTCACATAAATAAATTCAGATCATTGGCATACTTCCAATTTTATATTACCAAACTGGGTTTATTCATTTTTTTCTCCCAAAATTACTCCTCATCCTATCTTTTGTATCTTTGTGAATGGTTCCCACCTTCTCCCATTCATACAACTAGAAAACCTCCACATTCTCTTTGTTTCAGCCTTATCTCTCAATTTTACCAAGTCAAGCAGACATCAAATTTGTTTTTATCTAATGCTTTCTGTAATCTGTTCCTATCTCTCCATCACAAATATGCCTACCCTTGTTCAGGCATTTATAATCTATTTACTAAACTCTTCATGGTTTATTTTTGCTTCCTTGCCTTTGGTATGGCCTTAAAATCCGTCATTTGGGTTCTTGCCAGTGATTCACTGAATTGCTTTTCAGTTTTTAAAAAACAAAAAACCAAAAAATATTTAGAAAAAAAGTTATCAAAGTCCAAAACTTCTTTTTTATGGCATTTAGGACTTTTAAATCACTTTTTCAAACTCCCCAAATAACAATTATCTGATGACTCATCATTCTTGCAACAGCCTCCTGAGTGCGATGTCATTCTAGAAGCAATATAGAGAACATGGACTGTGAGCTTGTAGTCTGGGTTCGAATCAAGGCCAGTCACTTAGATCAGCTGTTTAAGAGCTGCTGTGGACTCTGGGCAAGTCACACAATACCTTTGTTCCTCATTTGCCTCACCTATTATGGTGCCACTCTCAGGAACTTTTGCCCACATTCACCTAGAAGGAGTCTGGGGAAATGCTATGGAGAGCCAGGTAAATGTGTCAACACATAAGCACTTGTGATTGCTGTTAATACATAAGTCACTTTGTAGTGTGTGATTGTGACTAGTTTTAGTTGTTTTTCCAGGGGTTCATAATCCCCCTGGAGTCCAGGGGCTGTGGCTGTTCATCTTTCTGAGACTGCCCTTTATACAAAGTAAATTTGCACTAGTCACTTTTTAAACAGAATAGGAATGGAATGTGACAAAGGTGATCTGACTTTTGAAAGGTAAAATGACTTGTGTTAATGGCAAAAATATTAGTCATTTCCTTTCTTTAAATCAACTTTATTTAAACTTACATATAATACAATTCATCTAACTTATATATGATAAAATGCACCAATTTTAAGAATACAGTTGGGTAAGTTATGACAAATGCATGCACTCATGTAACTGTCACCTCAATCAAGATATAGAATATTATCATCACCTGAATTTCTCCTTGTGCCTTTCTGCAGTCAATCCCTCTTCTGCATCCCAACCCTGGGCAATCATTGATCTATTTTCTGTCATGATATATTAGTTTTCTCTGCCAGTTATTTTTAATTTTTTAAGCTAGAATTGTTTCCATGTTCCAACGTGAACGATATCTTTCTACATAATCGACTTGTATACTAACATACAAAGGATATGATGCACCAATTTTCCTGCGGGTGTAAGGAGGGGCTACAGGTGAATTTTACCTCAAATTGAGTTGTTAATGGAAAACACAATCTAACCTAGACACAATAGACTATATCCTTATTTTACACGTTGCACCCCTGAGTCCCAGCAAGGTGGAAACTGAGCACTGGCATCCCCTTTTGCATGGATTCAGGTTCCCTGACTACTTTTTGACCCATTGTTCTTTAGGAAAATTTATTGGTGAGTATATTAAAAAAAGGCTACGTCTTGAAATTTAGGTGTCAGAGAGAACCCCTAAAACCTATTGAGTTTTGGATGCTAGCTCGGGAGGGGCTCTCCATGGATCTCAGAGACCTTTGCTTTTTAAGTACTCACTTTTAGGGTGTCACTCTGGGAGCTGCGCCTGGGGACAAACTGATTCCTCATTGGGGCTGTAACATTGCTCAGGGTCAGTGGTCACCAGGCAGGGAATAGAGCCCAGGTGGCGTGGGGAAAGGGAATGGGGGCCGGACGTGGTCAGCAGACTCAGGACTTGACTCACACACTCACACAAAAGAGGCCGGAAAGTGTCCGGAGGAAGCTGGCGCGTCACGGACGACGGATCCGGGACCCTTCCGCGCCCGCCCAGCGGCGCCCGGTCCCGGGTCCACAGCCGCACTCACCCCGCCACGCTCTCCGCCACCGCCACCACCGCGGCCACCGCCAATGAAACTCCTCCCGCTCCTAGGTGAGTGCTTAGCGCCCTTGGTCGCCGAGGTCGTCCGAGGGGCCAATGCCTTGTAGGGGACGGGATTTTTTAAGAGGTGGAGCTCACATGGCAAGTGGAGTTGGCAAAATCTACGAGGAGAATTGACTTAGTACTTCTCAGGATGTTTTTCTCCTTGACCTTTCAACTGTAAAGTTGAATATTCCAAGGTCCAAGGAATGTTACCTTTTTATTCCTCTTGAGGAAGTGTCCAGCGTCCCCTTTCACCTTTCTTCTGTTCTGACCTGAAGAAATTTGGGAAATTCAAACCATTAACACCCATGGGAGGCTTCCTGGCATTTTAAGGAGATTGCCGAGCCAGGTTTGAGCTTCATTTTGACCACACTGTGCAGAAAGATAGTAAATGACATCTCTGAGGGTGAAATAATTCCGGCTTCGTCAGTATACATAGTTATTTGCCACTAGGATTTAGAACAGAATACTTAAGAACCTCTTGGTACCTGATAAGGACAACTTATGCTAAATGACTGTTTTCAGAACAATGACCTCATGCTTTATAGCTGTTGGTCCTCAAGACTCTTGAGAAGGTCTGGTAAAACAATAAAAAAGGAACCTTCTGTACTTTTCCTTATCTTTTCCTATCAGTCCACAACATATAATTTCCAAATGTATTTCAATAACTCTGATGTATAGTCTTGTTCTTTGCTTTGTTTCTTTTTTTGTTTGTTTTTTGGTCACATTCATTTGTGTGCTGTTCCACTTCTGGAAGATCAGTCTTTGACCATAATGTTGAGTTTGTTTTTTTGTTTTTGTTTTGTTTTTAAATTTCCCCTAATGGAAAAAAAAATAGTGAAATAAATTTTATTATGAATAATTGAATTGAAAACCATTGAAATTGAAAACAATTGAAATTGAAAACAATCATTAGAACACAGAAAAAAAACAGCAATTGCATCTGTTCTCCTAGATAAGATGTCATCTTAAAATAACACAGATTTGAATTTAGAAAAACCCAAATACTCAATTTACCTTCATTTCTACACAGAATTACTCCCAGAGGAGGGAAATTGCTTTACAATCAGGCAGTTCCCTTTCAAAGTATCTCACCTCAGAATGAAGGGTAACACTGAATCAACATGCTATACTGATGTGGGAACACAGTTTTTATTATAAAGCTGAGTTGTTTATTACATTTTAGCTTCGTTGAGATTTACTTGATAAAGGTTGAAATTGGAAAAAAAAAAAAAAGCCTTCATCTTAAAAGCAAGTTTTACTTACTTGCTGTTGTGCTGTTACTTAGCTAAGTGCTCTCTTGGGAAAAATTTATAATCCATTTATCTAAATAGAAAGAGAGGAGAATTTATGTTTATTATACTCTAATTCAACAGTGGGGAGAGGTGTTTCTTTTACTTTTTGAAAAGGTGTGTTTCTGTATTTTATTTAGTGGTTTTTTCCACTTTGTTGAATTGTTCCTATACTCAAAATTGCACCAAGACACCTTGTCTCCCAAATGCAAAATGTGAAATACGCAATGGAATTGAAGCCTGCTATTGCAACATGGGATTTTCAGGAAATGGTGTCACAATTTGTGAAGGTAAACAAGCTTTATTACTTCTTTTGGATTATACTGTAAGATTAAATTCTGATGTGAATGTTTTTCTGTCCTCCAGAAACTAACTTGTTTTGTTACACAGTTTAATTTCATATATTTAAATAACGCTTAAGTAGCTAAACAGTAAGTTTGACTTCACTTGTCAAAATTTATGCTTGTTATTGATTTTAAATGACTTCATGCATATCTTATTTTTTGATGCAAATATTAAAGATTTCCCTTTAACTCATGCTGGAGATCCAGGTATAGAGGGCATAGTCAACAGCTTTGGGAACAAAAGAGTTCATGAAATTTAGACTATACTGGTATGGATTGCCTTCATATATCCTCTTTACTACTTGATATATGATACCAAGTATATAAGTATTTGTATACCTATATGGTATATGATACCACATATACAGGTACTTGACCGCCTATATTTGGAGATAATATTAAGAGATTCATGGTTTTCTCATGCATACCCTGGGCATAGGAAATGACAAAAGAAAGAGAGAATTTTGAAAAGACATCATCTTTTGAAAAAGTAGATTATAATCATAGAACTTTATGCTACTGCCCAGAGACAGAATGCCAGAAAGCATCCTTGTAGGATGCAGTGTAGCCCATTGATTTGATCAGCAGAACACCATCTGATAATCAAATTTAAATAAGTTCGTGTCTGTAGGTGTCACCTTACCCTTAATCCTCCACTCCCCTTAACACACTCAATCTTTTTAAATTCATTTTCAGTAAAATCTAGTTTTAACTGGATCCGTAGACCAACATTCTGTGTAGAAGAGAGAGAGAGAAAAAAAAGTACTAGGTCATACAAATTAGTTTTAAAATATAATTAAATAGCAAGTTCAAATTAAAGTTGTGTGGTGTTATGCATCTAAATGTATTTAAGATAACATGAACTTTTTTTAATTAGGCCAGGATATTGTATATTGTTAATATTGCATATGTTTGCTTACAACATAAACAAGTTGTATCTTGTGATTGAATTATATAGACTCTTTAAAAAGATTAAATAGGCAGTATTTAGTAAGACCAAACCTCATCATAATTAGGTTGAATGTTTAAAAAGTGTACAGCAAAGCTCCAGTTTGCTTAATGGTGCATTAAATCAGGCGTTTCTGCTTGTGTACACAGCCAGAATTTGTAATATACTATTTTACAAGAATTACAAAATCCTTTTCATAAATAATCTTAGAAATTTATTGTGTATTTAATTGAACGGCATTATAGCAAGTGGAAAGTTGAGTGACCTTCAAAATACTGCATCTCACAAATTAGTGTGCTTTTCCACTAATCATTACAAATTGTACTACAGTACTTCATAACCAGAGTTGCCTTTTTGTTTAGATACTTTTCAATTGTCATGCTTACCATAAGTAACATTAAAATTTTTCACAATTTGGACCTTTAGCAACCAACCAGCTTGTAATCATGTCTGTAATGATTTCTTTTAAAAACGCATCTTCCATTATCTAAAGCCGTTGTTTTTCCCCCGCTGCCTAAGTCAATAACTAGCTAATGAACAGAAAATATTTTCCATTGGAAAGAAAATTCTTTAAGACCTTTTGGCCTGCAATTTCTTTTCACACAGAACATAATTTGTAATGGGAATTTATTTCCTTCTTAGGTTCCTGTTAAACTTAAATTCCCTTTCTGTTTTTTAAAAAAAAAACTCCATATACACTTGTTTTGATATTTATTATCTGAGATTTGTAATGTCTTCTTAAAACTGTTTAAACAGTGGTTTTCATCTTCTTCACCTTTTATTAATTCACTGACAGGTTTTTAACCTTTTTTTAGTCAGGATAGTTAATATGCCTTTTAGGATTAAAACACTGCGTTCCCAACTGCTGAATAGTCTAGGTTATATTTTGAGTTTTAAGATTCTTGTTGGCATTTTTGTCTCTAAAGAGATTCCTCACCTTTCCTATCTTTCTCTAAGATTGGTATTAGGTCAAGATGAAATGACTGGACAGGAGATTAGCTAGAGAGGATGCCTACTTCTTGATGAATAGAATTTGTTTTCTTTTATCTGTCTTCAATAACGCTGTTATCATAAAATTTATCTCTCTCAGAGGTACCAAAGAAATGTTATAGTAACAACCCAACCTCACTAAACATATTAAAAGAGCAAGTTTTGAAGAAGTAATTTATAATTTGTTTTGCATGGTCCTAAAGAAATAAGCTTTAATTGTAGTGAATTTATTTAATCATTTTTTAATTCAACAGATGTTTATTAAGCACTTTGATCATTATCATAATCACATCAATATTAGAATAACTAATATCTACTCTGTGCTGGGTCCAAAAAATTAATTAACAGAGGCCTTACAGTCAGACGTACTGATTAGGAGTACAGGCTGTGGAATCAGACTTGGATTCAAATATTGGCTCTACCACTTGTTTGGTTGGTTGACCCTTCCTACTTCATTTTTATTCTACCTAACAGAGTCATTTCCTAATACACATAATTTATCATGTAACTCAGCTACTTAATACCTGCCAGTGACTCTTCCTTGTCAACAGGATAAAGTCTAGGCCCTTAACATTCTTACTTAATTCCCATTGCCTTCTCAACAAATATGCCCTCTGATATATGTCTGTCATGAAATTCTTGGAACTCCTTTAAAAATATCATACATGTTCAACTTCTAGGTTTTGGCTGAGTAAAGGAAATAATTAACGGCCAAAATGGTTTTTCAAAACGTTGTATGCTTATAAAGTAATATATGGGGAACATTTTTTGATGAGTAGCATGGAGTAAAGACAATTTGAAAACTTTTGAGATGTTTTGAGCAATAGCAAGCTGACTGTAATAAATGTATTGACTTTCAAGTTGTTACTTCTCATTTGGATGCATATGTTCCATTATTTGTTTAAATATAAATGAATTATTTTCATGCATTCATCTTATAAATATTATAAGTGGAATTATCATTAAGTGGAATTCTTCAGAATTTCACTTCCAAAGGAAATTGCTAATGTCTCTAACCCTAAAATAACAAAAAAAAACCTAATATGTTACTGAAACAAATCCGAGAGGTAAACCACCTTGTTTAAAAAACATATTTATAATGCAATTATTATTCAAACATTTTAAAATAACCATTACAAAGCAGAAAAACAATAATCAAAAGATATCAGTGCATTTTGAAGAAGAGATCAAGCATTTTCCTCTATGATAAAATATCATAATTACCTTGAAAAACTGAGAAAAAGGCAAAGCCATTTACTTATTTTAGCAATTACAATAATTATTGTATCCCCTTCATACTAGACATTTTCACAAAATGGTACATTTTCACAAAATGGTACCTCTAAGCAATTAGCATAACAACAGTATAATTTGCTTACCTAAAAAGATTGTCTATCACCTTATTTTTATCATACCCTAGTGAATTAAATAGTCTGCTCACCAAAGTTAGTCTGTTTATTCACTGAGATAGTGTGTTACACAAATAAGTAAAGTTGAAGTTCACAAATTGCTTTAAAATTGTATAAATACGGATCTTATGTGAAAGTACATACCCAGAATATAGAGTTTATCCAAACTATCTGCTTCAGGTCCCTTTGGAGAAGCTATTTTTCACAGTGGCTTCTAAATATTTTCTTTCTTTCTTTTTTTTTTTTTTTTCTCTTAGGCATTTTAAAAACATTTGTTTTCAGTTTTCATCAGACATTATCAGCTCTCTGGTAGTTCATCTGAAACTTTTCTTGTCCTTTCATTTTTAAGTATTGAAATTTAGGAGTAGTCAATTCAGTTGAGTAGTACCTGGACCAGCATTCATAATCCCTCTCCCTCCCTCCCTCCCTCCCTTCCTTCTTTCCTTCCTTCTTTCCTTCCTTCCTTCCTTCCTTCCTTCCTTCCTTCCTTCCTTCCTTCCTTCCTTCCTTCCATCTTCCTTCCTCCTTCCCTTCCTTGCTTCTTTTCCTTCTTTCTCTCTTTCTTGTTTTTTAAATTACAATCCTCAAAAGGAGGTGGTTCCCGATTTTCAGGTAATATTTAAGGACTATTTCAAAAATTGCAAGTATATATCTCAATAATATTATATGTATGTTTTGCTTCATGTACAAGATATGTCACTAAAAATCTTAGGGAATTTTTACGTATCTCAGAGGAACTTCTTAAATGAATACTACAGCAAACTTGAAAAAGTATAAACTCAGATGTGCTACTGGAGAGTCATGTATCAAATTTGTTTAAAGAGAGGTTTATATTTCCTTGGGGTTTCTGTATTAAATGGGAAATGTAACCCCTTTAAGAAATTATAGTCTAAATTAACCCAGGGTTTACCTTCCAGGATCATGATTTCTGTAAACTTCATCCAAGTAAATAAAATATCTTGCCAATTTCAGAAATTCTTTTCTTTGTATTGCAAATATGACCTCTTTTCTCTCTTCACAAGAAAGGTTCTACACTAGAAATACCTACCACTATAATTAGTTGGAACTTCCTCAGAAATATCCACTCAACAACATTACACATTCCATCAATATATAGAAAGAGGAAAATAAACCAATAATACTATTATAAAAACTTCCTTTAGATTAATATCTGCTTTGAAAAGAGAAGGAAAGCGGCTTGTGTGATCTGAGTTTTGCTGATCAGTTCCACAGTTTTAAAACCAAAGACTTCGCTGATCCGGTTTATTAAGGTCAGTTTTACAGACTAAGTTTTAGGAACCATTTCTCCAAATCATCTTACTTCATGTTTATCTCACAGGATAATTACCAAGAATGAATCAGATACAGCTAAGAAATTTCTTGAAATCTTAAAGTAGGGTTTAATATGAACATACGATTTTGGATTTTCCCAAGTAACCGATAATGAAACCTAATTAAAATTTTTCTTCAAGTAGAAGCCTCATTTATTTTTAATCAGTATTATCTAGATGGATTCATTGAATATTTAAAACCAGAAAAGTAATATCAAGTAACTAATAGGATGAAGAATGAAACTGAAATAATAAAAATGAACACAC